GGATGTACAAGTGCTTTTTTAAAAACTGAAGGAAAAGTACCGGTCAAGAGGCAAAGATTAAAAACATGGCATATAACAGGCACCAGGATGTGTCTAGCGGCCCTGATGAGTTTAGAAGGGATCCCGTCCCACCCCGTAGCACAATCTAGGTTAAGTCCAAGAATCAAACACTCAATTTCGTTATTATCCGTTGTGAAAACAGCCATGGAGTCAGAGGGTGAGGCTAGTGAAGACGGTTCAGGTACAGTAGGGCAACGTCTGGTGGCCACGATTCTGGACGCCAGGTTTTTTCCCACATTAGCGAAAAAGGAGTTTACAAAATCTACCGAGCGAGATGGACTTTCGTTTACGGATAACAGTTTAGTGGCAGTTGACGATGTCTGTTTCAAATTGGCGATTGATTTAATTAGATTCCAAGTGGCTTTGGGATTTTTGCTGTATTTCTTGAATTCTGCACTTTCAAACTCTCGTTTAATTTTTTTAAGTAAATTGTTGCAAAAGTTTCTATATCGTCTGTAGGTGATTTTCAGGTTGTCGTTATAGGGGTCCCTCTTAGATTGATGGTGAAGTCTATCTCGATTTCGTATACAACGTAACAGTCCCGGCGTAATCCAGGGTTTGATGATAAGGTTTCTACTTGAAGTCCTATGTGTACGAGTGTTATTTCTGACCACTTCGGATAAAATACCAACCAAAAGAGTAGCTGCTTCAGTTGCAGTGTTGGTGGCTAGGACTGGTGAGAAATCAGTTGTTTCGAGGTCTGTTACACATGCAGGGATGTCAGTACGCGTAGCAACTCTTTGGGTCCTTGAGGTTACTGATTCAATATTACAAGCCATGAGCATTGGAGCGTGGTCAGTTATAAATGAGTCAAGGATAAGTGTAACAGCCGGTTTATTGGATTTGATGATAGCGTGATCCAAACAACTATTACCACGTGTTGGCAAGAGGTGACCTGGTAGCATTGCGTGGGACGCAACTGTGGTGAGGTATGTATCAGAGTTCAGGTCCGTGCTGCCATGCGAAATGTCGATATTAATATCACCGGTTATGATGATAGTTTTAAATGATTTAAGTGAGCTTAACGTACTGTCTAGTGCGTTCACAAAGTTATCAATTTTACGTTGCGACGGGGAGCGATATATTGCTAGTAGTGCAAGTTCGTTGTGGATTTTAAGCAAAAGACAATTGGCATCCACCATAACCGGAGACTCCACAGTACAATTTAAGTTGCGTCGAATATAGACCACTACACCATCATTTTGATTGGAAAAATCTGATTTAAAATATTCGAAGTCCGGTATATTTGGGATGAAAGGACACTTACTTAGCCAGCACTCGGACAAAACTATTATGTCTAGTTGAACTTTGACTCTGTCCAATAAGACAAGAAGATTGTTGAAGTTGGGGGTGTTGCCTATGCTTCTAATATTTACATGAAAAATTTTAAGTGACTTGCTAATGTTTCTTAGGAATGTTTCACATTGTTCTGGTGAACAGTTGAACGATTTAGAGACATTGAAATTGTCAATATCATCAGCGAAGGTACAATTATTATTCATTGCAAATAGAAAAAAAAAGAAAAAAAAATAAATAAAAAGAATACAATACAAATAAAATAAATAGTGTATAATTAATTTATATTTTTTTTTACAGAAAGTGACAAATATTACCTAAGACAGGAATGGCGAGAGTCCAATTGATAGTACAGTTACATTCATTTGATAATGTTGTACGATACGATACATAGTACGAGATGCAGTATTAGAGTGGTATAGAGGGTTCTTTCCATTTAAGCCGGTATGTATGTGTGTTGTTGTGTATGACAGTAGTGTTATATGAGTGTGTAGTATTTGTGTGAAGCTGATAATACAGCAAGTTGCAGTAATTTGTATAATAATTAGTAGAAGTAATGAAAATAATAGTATGCTAGAAAAAGTAAGTGATATGAGTGAATGCTCTAGTCATATTTTTTCTTTGAGTTTCTCCAGGTCTGCTTCCGTAGATACGCGAATATGAGATGACCCTTCCTTCTTGCGAAGAAAAAATGCTTCCACTAGATGTCCAACAGAATTTAAAGTCATTTGCCTTAGCGAATTCACGTGTCAGATAAAACAGTCGTTTCAGTTTTGGGGACAGAGAATCAGCAACATAAACATGTTTTGGAGGGCCATATATTTGTAGGTGCTGGGTGTTACTTCAAGTTACGTTACGTACAAGTTACTTTCAAGTGCTTTATTTCAATTGCAAAATAAACTTCTTATTAGAGAAGAACGTTTGAAAATAATAAGAGATACCTTTGTAAACAATTATTTCCAATGTTATTTAGCTTTAAAATTAAAAAAGGTGGAGTTGCAAATGATGATCATACTTGTACAATTTGCTTGGAGGATGGCGTCTTCAAGCAAATAATCTGTAGGTTACTTATTTATGTTCATTTGAGGTTAGTTTTTATTTTTATATCTAATGGATGAATTATTTTTGTTAGAGAAAATGGGTTTCAGAAAATTACCTTTCACAAAAGAGAATTTCAAACTTGTGAAATAGAAGGTTTTTTGGAGTAACCAACATTTTTCTAATAAGGGATACTGAAATTCAAAGTTATAAATAAACTTTTGGTGATAACTCTTTTTTAACCATACTGTAATAGTTACTGAAAGTGGTACGATAGAGTATCATTTTACTGTCACTGTATTTCACACATTTCTTCTTCTACAAAGCTGAATAGATTTTTATGAAAATTTGTGTAATATGCAGAAAGGAAAGAAGGAAAAGCCACTACAGTCTTTCTGCAAATTCAAAATGGTAATATACGAGTATGGTACATTATTTTCTAGTTTTTACTGGAATCAATAGAGTATTGATAAATAATTTAAGACATAATCGCCCGTATTCACAAACGATATTGCTTTAATGAAGCAGCAAATCAAACGCACAGCGTTGAATAGAGCTTTGTGATTGGTTCGTGTGTCACCCTGTGCGCCCACACACTGTGAGACCTCATAGTAATGTTTGTGAATACGCAGACGAAGCCACGGGCACTGGCTAGTCTTTAACAGCTTTATTGCTAAAATTTTCCTTAATATCTATCGATTCACACAAATCATTTACGACCTTCGGTACAACATTAATATTAAGTGTAAGTCTAACGGTAACTCACCCCACTGTGGGGTAAATGGGTGGTTTTGGGGGTGGAAAGATATCCCACCTTACTATTAGGTAGTGAAGCCACCCTAAACATCTGGGAAGGTTTTATGCCTGAATATTAAGTAATACCTTTCATAAACAACTTTATTGACTTACTTGTGAGTTTACGAAACCTACTGAACTTTTATGATTGTTTATTGTGTACTATAGATAAGGGCCCTGAAAAAGGCCGAAATACTAATAACGTTTACATTTGAATATACTTCAGAATAACATCTAAATATAATATAGGTAACTCAAAGTTGACTGATTGACTGATAGTGATCTATCAACGCACAGCCCAAACCACTGGACGGATCGGGCTGAAATTTGGCAAGCAGGTAGATGTTATGACGTAGTATCCGCTGAAAAGGATTTTACGAAACTCTACCCCTAAGGGGGTAAAACTGGATCCACGCGTACGAAGTCGCGGGCGGCCGCTAGTTTCAATGATAAGTGTCAAGTAAGGACTAAGGACTCATTCATTTTGCAGGAGCCAGTATGCAGAATCCCGTAAAACTGGACTGTCGTGTCAAGACACATAACATAAATTCGAAATTGAATTGCAAATTTGAACGGATCGGCTTTTTACGGGACACTGCAAAAGGGATGTTAGTTTGTACGTTATTATTAAAACACGTATACTACTAAAGGAGATCCTGCAAAAAACTGTTCCTGAAAACGGGATATCTCAGTGGGAATAAGCCCTTAATCGGTTTTTGCAGCCAAGAACTGTCCGTGAGCGAAGCCGCATGTAAAAGTTAGTTTATTCCTGAAAATTAGTCACTTCTTCAAAAATAACGTCCGTCCCAAGTAACCACCAACCCCCAAAACACCTAAATAAACTAAATCTACCTCCATTTCCCTAATAATTGTTCCAAACTTATTCCAAGTCTGTGATGTAACGTGCCGGTCAAATACCCCGCGCCCCACCGACCTAAAGACCTATTTCCTCATTCACTCGCCGCCTTTGAACGAATGATTACGAGTGACCGAATGACTTTGGATATTGTTATTTATTTTTGTTTTTGGGACGGTTATTTTTAGCATTACTATTAAAAAAACTTTTTTGACACGAAAAGTCTTTGTGTCAAAATAACAAAATAACATAAAAAATGCAAGTAATTATGATTTGGTCAAAAAAACATGTTTCAGGAAGAATTTTACTGCCATTTCACAATTTAGCGACATGTATTCACAGAAATCTTTTGTAATCTAAAATCTAAATGATTTTTTTTATTTCCCAATCGTGTGAAAGTTACATAAAATCAATAGGAAGGCTTTAAATATTAACTCGTGTTGGCTCTTTCGCTCCCGTTCGATGCTGAAACCCACTTCAACTTGATTCTGTAAACTATCTTTTAATAGTCAAACGACACTTTTATTATGTTTTGCTTGTATTAGAACATATACAAACATTAGTACATACTGTTTTACGTTATAATGTTTAGCTGAAGAACAAAGGAAGCTTCAATGGCATTCCGCCATTGCAGTGAAATGAACTTATTGAATTGGAAGCAAAAAATGCTTTTCCGAATTCTAAATATTCATTTAGGTTAACCCATTTCTATTTTCGTTTATTTATTTTTATTAGTCCGACCTTTTCTGTTAGGTTTTATTTTAGTACAATTGAAGCTAAATTGTGTTTTGTTTTCTTCTACCGAGCGCGGAATTGCGTATGACAGAAAGAGATAGGAAACACGGGCTGCGTATTAAATATTGACACTGGGCTCCTCTTTAAATATACATCGAAACGGAGGTGCTTTTTGAAGATGGTAAAAGATTATCGATTTATCACTGCATTTGTCACTTACCTGACGCGGTAGTGGTGGCGGCAGTCGAGATCGATATCGTTGTAGACGTCGTCGTCTCGGTGCTCGCGGATGTTATATCGACAGGTTTGTCCACAGCCCTATTGGACAGTCCTGAGCTCTCAGCAGGCTCGGGAGGGTCCTCCTCCATCTGTGTACCCGTCTGACTGAGGTCGTTCGCCACTATCACGTTCACAGTCGTCAACGATTCCAGATCCGAGTTCTCTCCTGATATCTGGGAGTTGTCGATGTACACAGCAGCGGAACGCGCTCCGAGCGTCTCCATCACGCTCTCTGCTAGAGACCTGGTCGACATCTCGTCGATATCGATGTCCTGCTTTATATCGATGATGATCTGATGACGCTTCGTCCCCGAAGCGTTCTGCACCTGATGCACGCTGACCTGCGCCTCTGCCGGCGCCATATGATGGATGACATTCGTCAACTGCTCGCTCTCCCTGTTCCCAGCCATTTTCACTTATACTAACCAGACTCTAAAGTCAGTCGAAAAATTATTGCGTATTTTAGACTAATGAACACATGTATCACACGGTATGCAACTCAGCTGCAGGATTTAGAGGTGAACAAACTTGGGTGATGTCATTGTGCGTTTTGGCAGTGATTGTTTGGTCAGGTGATCACCGGGGCATGGTGATGGCGCGGGCCGATTGCCCGCCAGCTCCGTAGCACTGCGGCCTACGGCGTAGCGCTACGGCGCGTTCCGTAGTCCGATCGAACGCTTCCGTGATTGGTATCCCCGGATCTGTCCCGAGATATCGCGTATTTATTTATTTATTGTAGTGTTTTTCAAGGTTTTATTGAGATTGAAATTGTAATCCACTGATTTCTACTAAATTGTGAGGTAAACTGTTTTAGAATTTCATTTGTTTTTAATTTTTGTAAGATCAACGATGTTACAAGCTCCTAAAAAAAAGGCTGACTGTTACTATAGTGAGATTAAATGCTTATTTTCTTTTATTACAAATCAATTTTATGTATTGCTTAATACACGGTATAATTTTACATAGCACACGATTATCCTGCAGCTGTATTTATAAAGACACTTTATTATTTAGCCCTAACACGAAACATTTACAATTTTCACTCACAAATCACAAAATATTGCCTTCTACGTTCTTCCCTTTAAAGTTACCGCACAACCTATCTCACGGCTTATCTTCAGACCGACCCCTCGTGTGTCCCGGCTCACTTTTGGCGACACGTGCCCGCGCATGCGTAGCTGCGATTCTATCACCTATCTCGCTCTCCCCCGCTACGTCCATCCCTCTCACCCCCCTTCGATCGTCGTAGAATGACGAAAAGCATTATAATCGAATTTATGTCGGTGTACCGGGGTAGTACGGTCTGCAGCGGAATTGGGTCCAACGCGGCCTTGAGCTATTTTCCATATAATGTGCCAGTTCGGCCTTTTGGGTACTTTGAACTATTGAAATCAAATGCATTTGACTTTAACTTGATGGGATACGCCCTGTATACATACTTATGAGAGTATTGTAGATTAAAAATGCAATGCTAGCGCTCAGGACTCGGCGTGGTGGGAACCGGAACTAACGAAAGTGTCTGACAACATTGAGGCTTCACCACAGAGTAAATACAAGTTTAACTTTGGTCTCTAAAAATTCAACTAAGCCTGGAATTCTGTAATAATTAAATAGCATTGACTTAAAACGTTTTTACGGATTACACTCAAATGTCTTTGAAGATTAGCAAATTAGAATTAACGAATGAAGCATTTTTCCTTCCTTGTACAAAAATAGGATTTTGAACAATCTCTCTTACAAAACTTTACCGTGTTTTTTGTTAATAATACTTTGCTCAATATTCAAGTGAAATTGTTCAGTTAAAATTTTCTCCACCCATTTTCTTATTAAAAGCATGAAGGAAATTGACCTAGAGTTTATGATAAAGTATGCTAAGATTCAGTATTCAAGAAATACAACGAAAGATACGTAGTGGGATGTGTTACCACATGAAAAACAAAATGGCCACGCCGCCATCTTGGATTGGAAATGCGATTTCAGGGGTTTGTGCGATGCACATAACGAAAGTGTAATGTCATGTAATGTTTATGAAAACTTTTGAAAACGAACAGTAGCAAGCCGTGTATAATACATAAGTCTAGTAGATAAATTAATTTTTGTAACACATTTGTTTGTAATTCCTAAAAAATTAATAAATAAATAACATTTTGCATGTTCTAAAATAATACGAAATACGTTGTGAACCAATAATTAATTAGGTACTACCTACTCTCCGCATTTCCAGTGACAAAAATAGATTAATTTCCCGTAATTCCCGATCCAGTGACGAAACATTTTTCCGTGTAAATGTGCGGTAAAAGTGCTGTTTACAAAAAATATTTTTCTTCTGTCGCTACACTCTCCGCCGTCGTTATATAACTTGTGACGACAGCCGAAAACACCACCCATGTAAACAAATATTTTAGCTAGACTTTCGTGTATCAGTTAATTCTGTAACATACAACTAGACACAAATGCTAGATACCATAGATCAGGGGTGGCCAACCGGTCGATCGCGAATAAGTATTAGTCCAGTCGATCGTGGCAAGGCAAATAATACTTTACATGATTGTGTACTAAACTATGCTGTTCCATTTTACATTTCAAGAAGTATGTAAGTGTTAGGTCGCCCAGAGTTTCGTTAGTAAACAGTAGATCTCATGTCTAAACTTTAAATAAAGCCTTGATAGAGTAAGCGCAAGAAAAGTGACGCATCTTTTAGTGTAAGTACCATTCTGGTCCACTTGAAAAGTCACAAGTAAAAAATTCGACTTTTATTGTTTTGTCAAAGTCAAAATTTCTTTATTTGTATAGACTATTAAATAGTTCTTACAAATCGTCAAAAATTTTGCACTTAAGGAGCCTCTACATGTCTCATAATCTTTTTACCCTACCAGCGCTTCGAGACCAACATTTGGCAAGTGCTAAGAAGAAGCGTCGCAACAAACTCATTTAATTTTAATTAAAGGTCTTTAATAATCTCAAATAACAAAGCTTTCTGACGATAAAACTCTCCCACTTTTGAAAAAATCGCCGGTAATGTTACAATTTTCACAACATTTTGACAGTAATGGTAATGACATATTAAACGAAGCTTTTGTATGAAGACTATAGATCTAGGCTATATTAATCTAAGCCAGATGCAACAAATATAGATTGTTTGAGAGTTAACGAAATGAACGCAAAGCGAATGAATGAACGAAATTGAAAACACTTGATTAGAATTCAAAATTTAACTTTCAGGAGTCTAAAAAGTGATTGAAAGTTTTAATAAACCTTTATTCAGATTGGCTAGTTACTTCGAATATTTTTTCTGTAAACCATTTAATATAATTTGTACAATTTAAATAATTTCTTAGAACAATATTACGTCAAAATCCATGATAAAATTAACCGTGAAATACAGTTGATTTTTATCTTAAATCTTTTGTAACTCATTGCTTGTGCTTTTGTTTTTTTTTGTGTACCAATTAAAGAATATTCTATTCTATTCTTGTGTGAATTTTTAAGGCTAAATTGTACTCTTAACTAGAAAGATTCTAGAATCATGGAAAATTTCATTGAAAATGTCTCTCTCAAGATATCTGAGATATCTTTCATAACAATTCCAGTGGAGAGGAAATTTCTTCGAAGGCTTGTTCGCATGCATACCTCGAACCCGAATATCTTGAAGATACGAATAGGTGTCATACGAAGGACATGAGCACTGCGTATTTTTGACCTGTATGTATTGATTTAAAAAACTCATTTATTTGTGCAAGTAGGCTTTTAAAAAGCACTTTTACACGTCCCAGTAAAAACCCTACCACTGCTTCGGGACAATAAATGGGCCAGTGCTGAGAAGAAGCAGCAGCATTTGTATTTTATTTTATTAATGTTTTGGTTTTTATTAAAGTACTTATATTATAATATTTTAAATAAACAACTTGAAAATCTTTTAAATCTTATGTATAATATTTTTATATTTAGGTAAAGAAGACAGTGCATCAAGCAAAAACTGTGGTATTTTGTATCGTTATTGTTTGAGTTTGAACGAGACGAAGCTTATGGATTATAGTCACCATAGAGCCATGATAAGCACATGCAGTACCTTTCTTTATGTGATGTGTCACTTAAAGATTTTTTTTTAGATTAATTTCGTTCGTCTTCGTTCGAAAACTCGTTGTTGAAAAGCCAAATAAGTAAATTAGCCAAATAGTTTGGTTAATAGTCTTTCAGTGACATACGATTAGGTACCAATTACCAAAGCTCACGCGGCTAAAGCTTCGAGAAAAAGCTAGTAACAGAAGCGTGAAAGTTTTTATTGATGAATGGATGGAAATTTGTTACTAATACTTTTTTTTTTAATGTTTGTTAGCTAATACTACTGAACCGATTTTGAGAAACTTTCAATGTTTATTATAGCACAACGAATACATAAGAATATCAGCATATTAACGCTATCGTGGTTTAATAATAAGCCGTAGTAAAGCCATGAGCACAAGCTTCATTTAAACGAATAAAATCTGCTCGTTACGACAAAAATGCTATCATTTTTACCTCATAAAAATATTCAAAAAGCAAACCCCCAAAGCCTATGAAAGCTCATAGTATCATGCTTAAAATATCCCGTTACATCGCCATTTTTAGATTTAAAACAGACTCAGGGCTTAGTGGGAGGGTAGATGGAGGGACACCCCCTCCCAATCCGCGCGTCCTTGGCAGTATCCGCATAGCGTAATACCCACACTCCTGTTGCTAGGGATGTGCTGAAAGCTCGCGAGTTAGCGGTGAGCTAGCTCGTCAGTGTTTAAAAGAGCTAAATCGACAATGTGAAAACTTGAATATGTATGAAAGGAAGAAGTGTACAAAGTAAGATAGAAAAAAACTGTCTTCTTTCTTTTAATGGCAGTCGTTTATGCCATTATAGAGGAAAAAACCTTTATGTCAGCAAACGGACGCTTCAGTTAGCCAACAACTAAGAACATACTTACTTAAATTCTATTTCTAAAAGACAAGCTATGCTTAAGAATAGGTCCTGTCAATATTGACCACGCACGCGAAGGTTTTAGAATGTAGATACTTGGTGAAAGGAGCTCTACGAACCCTGAAAAAGTTTTTCTTAGCGAAAAATAGAATAGACAGTCATGTTCCAGTTCTTTTAATTCAGGCAATGGTTATTTACAGTCCTACCTTTTAATGGATGAAAGTAGCTCCTGAAAACTCGTGCAGTCACTTCACTAAAGATTCACTTTACTATTCTATAGATTACGTACCTATAACATGGGTGGCTAAGTTGTACAACATACAAAATACAGTATCATTGTTGAAATACGGAAAAATTGTTTGTTTTATGAAAAGTATATTATGAAGTTAAGAAAAACTTATCTTATTTATCCTCTGGTCTTAAAATATTGTCAAAGGTTGACTGGCAGCAACAACAATTTGATTTTAAGTTAGTTTTTTGGACCAGCCAGTTAATTATTTAATAACAGGTCGATTCAAGCTTACTGAATTATCTGTCCTGCTGGCTAGCTAATCCTGAACTGAGAACAAAAACAAACTTTTTTTTCATGATCAATCTGAGAATC